CCTCCTCCCTCTCCTACCCATGGTAGTGGTGGCCGCCCCCCTCCGCAGCACCACCGCAGGAGCGGCTGCTGCAGTCCGCGCCCGTCAGCATCCGGGGCTCGGCCGCCAGCGGCAGTGGCAGCGGCGGCAGCGGCCCGCCCAGCGGCCCGCCGAGCAGCGGCCCGCCGAGCAGCGCAGGCCCCCCGCCCCGCGACGGCCCCCGGTGCCGGCGGGGCGGCGCCGGCGGCAGAGCCAGAGCCCCTCGCATCTCGGAGGAGGAGGCGGAGGAGGAGGAGGAGGAGGCAACAGCCAAGGAGGAGGAGGAGGAGGAGGAGGAGGAGGAGGAGGAGGAGGAGGAGGAGGAGGAGGAGGCAGCATCAGTGCGCGTGAAGCCCCAGGCAAGCTACTTTTGGGCCAGGGGTACTCCCGCCAGATCTCCTCGTCGGTTTCGTCGTCTTCGTACTCACGGTTGCTGTTTGGTTTCGTCACCCAATCACGGTAAAACACTATCGGCCAATTTTGAGGGACACCCAAGGTGTTCCCTCCTTTTGTTCCATCTCTTTCAAGGTTAAGGGTTGGCCACAAAAAACCCAGCAGCTCTAACCGATTCAACCTCTCAGTGCAAGTGCATAGATGAGGAGGAGGATAGCAGCCCTAAGATTGCACAGCATTTTCCAAGTCTAGTGCACCTCCACAGCTGGACACTAACGGCTTGTACTTTGGCGTCACCACGCCACACTTACTCCACAACAGTATTTTTCCGCAGCAATCACACATGCGATATGCTCAACGTGAGCAATCTGCACACGTACGATGTCGTACCAGCGCCCAACTGCAGACAAGGTTCATGGCCCCAAAGGCCAGCCTTGAAAGACCAGCCTGCGACACCTATCAGCTGTCTGGTTGCGCTGACTATTGGGTTCGTGCTTCACCCGAGAAGAATCCCACAACAAACACGAGGGCCCCAGGACCGATGCAGCTTGGGGTAAACTCAAAAAAAACCCTGGGCGGCAACTTTAGAACTGCCGTACTTTAACGTTCTGTGCTGCATACGGCTCATGTTACTGCGGAGGTAGGGGGTGTACATTGGGTGGGACTGCGGAGGACCTCCAAGCCTGCATCTTCAGGCTTAGCAGCGCAGCTGCTCACCGCAGCTACAGGCAAACAGTATTCCCGAGCAGGCAATTATTATATACATCTGTTGTTATTATCACGGCCAGCAATACAGGCCCATTTAACCCACACGGGCCAGCTTGCGTAGGCCAGCCTTGGCGTCACATGATGACGCAGAATTCAACGTAGCCTCACCACCTGCTCGGCACAAGCACCAGTGTGCACATCCTATCTTCGTGCTCATAACAATATGAACACTTTTTTTCTGCACACCGCCGTCTGCCTAGATGGCACATGCCATGTTGGAGTGGGTGTGGGGGTCAGAGGAGAGGCTGCGGCGGATTGGAGGATAATGCTAGGTTAGGGCTTAACCAGACACCCCAGCCTACAGTTTGGGCTTCTGTATGTCTGCCATTGCACAGTGCGCCTCACTAATTCCCCCTACTCGCTTTGTTCCGACACGCTTATTGTCCTCTTCTTCCAAATCTCCAGACATTGTTACGCAATTGGCATTTTTGAACTGCTGAATGCCAGTAGCCACATGCATCTATTCTGCTCCTTTGCTTCCGTTGCAGCTTGTTCTATTTCGCCGCCAGATGACAGAAACAATGAGAGATGATGGATGGGCGGGCTCATAATACGGAGGTCGACGGTTTGGGGTCAACCAAAACCTTGGGCAGCATCCCTAGATTTGCACAGGCAAAGCGGCGCTACTGCAACCCCCTTGTGTTCTTACTTCTGCCCTGATCTCAGTTTGTACCCATGAAAGTTGGCATTCGCTATGTGTTTATTTGGCTTACTCGTGTTGGTCTTCTCCACTAAGGTACAAGCTGCGTTATCTGGCGGGCGCCGACTATACTACTTGTGTTTTTCACGTTTTCTCTAGCCGCGGCGCCCACCAGGTATCCTTGCGCCGAGTCGTCTGTCTTTTTTGCATCATCACGAACGCCACAGCATCTTGCTAAGGTTAGTCTAGCTCAAAATGAGGAGGCTTCTCTTCTCGGCCCCGCTCGTCGGCCCCGTCTGGCTCGACGGGTCCTGGGGAGGCTGTTGTCTGGACGGGAGCCCCAGTCCAAGTGTTTTGTGGGGCACCCATTTTGAAGGGGCCCTGGGACACACAAATAAATACACAAATAACAGGATTCCCCATATTTTCCGATATTTTCTGGGTTTCTGTCTCCCCCCCCACTGCCCATATTTTCCTATATGTTCTGGGGAATCGACGATTCATTGTGTCTGTGTGTTTTTTCTCCTCCTGACATTTCTGTTTTCTCGTGCTGAGTTTGGCCTTGGGTCCAACTTGAGGCTCGGAGCGAGCGGAAATTCGCCGGGCCCCGAGGCCGAGGAGAGATATACATATATGTATATATACATATATATATATATATATATATATATATATATATATCGCGTTCTGTCTCGGGGTTGTGCCTGCTCGCAAGCAGGCTCGGGAATTCGGCTCGGCTGGACTCGGAGGAAGAGGAGGCGGAGGAGGTGGATGAGGAGCAGGATCAGGCGGAGGAGGAGGAGGAGGAGGAGGAGGAGGAGGATGAGGAGGAGGAGGAGGAGGAGGAGGAAAAGTACCCATACCGGTACCCTTGGCCCCCGTTTTCCCTCTTTCGGGGGCTTCCAGGAAGGCCCTCGTCGACACCGGTGGATTCGCCTCGAGATGCTGGTCAGAACGCAGCCCGGGAGAGGTCTGGGGAGTAGCGGTATCGGTACCTTTTGGTTTCCCCAGTCCCAGACCTTCTCGCATCGTGAAGTAGTCGCGGCGGAAGGTTTTCCAAATTTTCGGCTCCCGCAGGCCCTGATCGAACCCCAAGACCGGCCAAAAACGACGAAGAATGAACAGCTGGTCCTGTGTTCGCCGTTGTGGACAACTCATGACGTCGGCCTGGTTGCCTCGTTTTCGTTTTTGGGGCCTTGGAGAAGGCCGTCGTCGCCACGGCCAGATTCTTACCGGAATCCTGGTCAGATCGTACCCCCATCGGTTGCCTCGTTTTTGGTTTTCTGGGCCTTCGGGAAGGCCGTCGTCGCCACGGCCAGATTCGCCTCGGAATAGTGGTCAGATCGCACCCCCGGAGAGGTCCAGGGAGGAACGGTATCGGTATCGAATGTTTGTTCCGCCCAGATGGCGGCGACCCACAGCCGGCTCTGGCGACCCGCGGCGGCGGCGGCGGCTGACGAAAACCAGCAGCGGCGATCGGCCCGTACCTCTGAATGAGCCTGTCCACCACCACTACCACAACAACCACGACAACCACCACCACCACCAGCACCACCACCACCACCACCACCACCACCATCACCACCATAAGTTGGAGGGGGGAAGGAGGTAGAGGATGAGGAGGAGGAAGAAGAGGAGGAGGAGTTGGAGGAGGAGGACTTCTCCTCCTACTTGTGGTGGTGGCGGTGGAAAACAAGCCCACCACTGAAGTGTTAAATCTAACGGTATTTCGCTGCTCTAGGCCTCGGGGGGCCCTCGCTGGGCCCCGGGGCTGCCATCAACATTGTGGGGTCGAAAAAGCGGCCCTGGAGAAAGGGTCGAGGCTTAGATCGGGCATGCCCCCCTACAGGCGGATTTTGGAAGAAACGTAAAGATAGACAAAACATATTCAAAGGAGCCAGAACTAGTTTCAAAATCGTCACCTGATTTTTTGTGACTTTTGTTGAATATTCCTCATGTAGAGGGACAGACCCGACTTAAGTCGAGGCTTCTGGGGAACCCGTCTTGAAAACATCAAGGCTTCGGCTCTCTTGGGGTGGCGGCGGCCTACGGCCGGCTATGGCGACCAGCGTCGGCGACCAGCAGCGGCGACCGACGACTGGCGGACGCGACGACGACGAGAACCACGAGGGCGACGACTACGACGACGACGACGACGACGACGACGGCGGCGGCGGCGGCGGCAGCGACGGCGGCGGCGGCGACGACTACGACGACGACGACGAGATCGGCGGCGGCGGCGGCGGCAGCGACGGCGGCGGCGGCGGCGACGACTACGACGACGACGACGGACGACGGACGACGGACGACGGACGACGGACGACCGACGACGACGACCGACGACGACGACTGACGACCGACGACCGCCGTCCGACGACCGACGACAGACGACCGCGGCCGGTAGCGACCAGGACGACAGCTGGGCCTTCGGTCTTTTGGCCGGAATTCCCTTGTGGATGTACCTGGGGCTCCCTGATGAGAGTGATGCGTTCCGCCCCTCAAACAGCTGCCAGGTGATGCGAAACTCAGAGGAGAAACAGAGGGCTGCCACCGAAAGCGCATCGAGGGGACCCACCCCTGGATCGTGGCACGCCTGAGCGTCGTCTGGCACTGGGTGATGCTCGGGCGTGTCGCCGCCAAGGGGGTCGGCCTCCCCGACGGGTTCTCTGAGTCGGTGATCTCTAGGTCTCCTCTGGGAAGCGAGGCCAGGACGCGAGGGCAGGCAGAGGTAAGAATGACCCCCCCACGGGCTCTGCAGCACTCTGCAGTACGCCCCAGGCCCTTCAGGCCGCTGCCCCTGCCCCTGCTCTTCTCGTCGTGGTCCAGTCCCTGGTCCTGGTCTTCGCCTTCGTCGTTGTTCCCACTCTCCCCACTCGCTGCCGTCCTCGTCGCCGTTCTCGTCCGCGTCCCCGTCGCTGCCGCTGCCGCCGCCGTGGCCGTCGCCGTGGCTGCCGCCGACGCCGACGCCGTCGTCGTCGTCGCCGTCGTCGTCGTCGTCGTCGTCGTCGTCGTCGTCGTCGTCGTCGTCGTCGTCGTCGCCGTCGCCGTCGCCGTCGCCGTCGCCGTCGCCGTCGCCGTCGCCGTCGCCGTCGCCGTCGCCGCCGCCGCCGCCGCCGCCGTCGTGATCGTCCTCGTCCTCGTCGTCGCTGCCGTCGTTCGCGTCCCACTCAGGTTCGGCCAGATGTGGGGTGCCCGCCGACGACCCGTCGCGCTCGGCCCCGTCGGCGCGCAAGGACCGGGGGGGGGGCGGATCGGCAGACGGGCGCGGACTTCGCCCACTTCCACGGTGGGAGCGGGCAGGGCGCGCTGCTTTTGCCCGACGGATGTGGCTGCTACACAGTGGAGACCCCTGCCGAGAAGCACCCCGCTTGCCTCCAGGGTGCCCTTGGTTTCTTGGGTTTTGATGGTTCTGCTATGGGCAGCGCGACGTTCGCACACCAAGAATCAACGGACGTCCTGGGGTCTCACGGTTGGGTTTCTTGTGCAAGGTTTCCTGTGGTCGAGCTCCCATTCTTCAGTGCTGCCAGAATTGTAGGTTCAGGTTCGATGCCTCACGCTTGCTGCGGATATATGATCGCGGGCTCCGGGCCCACGGGCCCCCCCCCCGATGGGATGGGTCCCAGGGTCATCGCCCCCCCCCCCCAGATGGGTTGGGGGGGGAGGAGGAGGAGAGGAGGAGGAGGAGGAGGAGGAGGAGGCGGAGGAGGAGGAGGAGGAGGAGGAGGAGGTGGAGGAGGAGGAGGAGGAGGAGGAGGAGGAGGAGGAGGAGGATGGGCCGATTGCGCCGACATTTGCGCATGAGCTTCCCGCGTAACGCCGCGCGCGAGCGCCCTCTTGTCCGCGCGGCGTGCCACGCTGGCGGCCAGTCTGAGCCACGCTGTCTTCCTGCGTCAGACTCGTCTCCCCTCCTCGCTCCTCTGGCCCTGTGTGCGCAGCGTGCTGGAGCCAGAGTGCCGAGGACCACTTCACGGGCGGGGGCTGCACGAGCCTGGGCCTGGTGGGCGGCGGCGGCGGCGGCCTGCAGGACCCTCCACTGATGAGATCCAGCCACTGCCCTCGCCACCCTCGCCGCCGCCTTCGCGTTCGCCTCTTCGCCGCCGCCTTCGCCCTCGCTCTCGCCGCCGCCGCCGCCGACGACGAGCGAGCTCGCCGCCGTCGTCGTCGTCGTCGTCGTCGTCGTCGTCGTCGTCGTCGCCGTCGCCGTCATCGTCGTCGTTGTCGCTGCTGCCGTCGTTGCTGCTGCCGCTCGGTGACCGAGGCTCGAGATTCGAGGCTCCCCGATCCATGTCTTGTTGAGTGCTTGTGTTTTGGGGAGGCAGGCCTGCTTGGTTTCCACAGTCTTGGGCCTCCTATTGGAGGCTCGAGGACCAAGGCTCGAATCTCCTGGGTCGAGGTTCGAGCCTTCTTGATGTCTCGGATGTACTTGGGGCCTTCGGGCCCTCGTTTCGAGCTTCCAGAGGCAGAGGTCGTCGTCGTCGTCGGGGTCGGCAGCCGCGTCGTCGTCGCAATGAGGATGATTATATGAGGAAAGAGATGATGGTGATGATGATGATGATGATGATGATGATGATGATGATGATGATGATGATGATGATGATGATGACGATGCTGATGACGATGATGTTGATGCTGATGATGATGATGCTGATGGTGATGATGATGCTGATGACGATGATGATAATAGTGATGGTGGTGAGGATGATGATGCTGATGATGATGGAGATCGTCATTCTCATTTAATCACCCAGTGAAGGGCCGCGCCATATTGTCGAACTGCACGCAAGATTAACTCAGGTAGTTTTAAACATGTACTAACCATTTACAAGTTATCTACCGAATATGATGACCTTGCAACTCTATCGCAAGCGTGGCCATCGCCATCACGGGTCTATTCTGCCTGATCAGCAGCAACATTATCATCACCATTTTGATCGTCCTCTCTGTCTTCGTCTTCGTCTTCATCTTCATCTGGCAATGGGGGCGTCTTGGGAGACGGCGGCGTTGCCCGGGCGCTTACCGCCAGCGCCGGCGGCGGCCCCGCCAGAGGTGGCGCCTGCCGCCGCCGCCGCGTCTATGAGCCGTCAGGGCCCCGGGTCGTCCGCGTCTGAGCCTTGCGCTGTGGCCGCCGCGGCACCGTTCACCGTCGACACCCATCCTCCTCCTCCTCTTCCCCTTCTGCGGAAGTCCTTGTCCTTGTCCTTGTCCTTGTCCTCCTCCTCCTCCTCCTCCCCTCCCACCCCTCCTTCCCCTCCTCCTCCTCTCCTCCTCCTCCCTCCTCCTCCTCCTCCTCCTCCTCCTCCTCTCCTCCTCCCCTCCTCCTCCTCCTCCTCCTCCTCCTCCTCCTCCTCCTCCTCCTCCTCCTCCTCCTCCTCCTCCTCCTCCTCCTCCTCCTCCTCCTCCTCCTCCTCCTCTCCTCTCCTCCTCCTCCTCCTCCTCCTCCTCCTCCTCTCCTCCTCCTCCTCCCCCCTCCCCCTCCTCCTCCTCCGGCCCTCCCCCCCCCGCGCGCACGCGCCTTCGCGCACGCGTTTGCGCCCTCGGTGCCGCCCTCGGCTCGGCCGAACTCCGACCGCTCCGCCGCCACTGGGCGGGGCCCTGCCCTCGCGGCCCAGAGGCCCTCCACACGTGGCCGATCTGCTGCCCACGTTACTCGGGGCCGGACAGACCCCCCACCCGGACAGACCTCGCCGCGCCGGGCCCAACGCAGAGACCGCCCGCGCACCAGGCGACGCGCCAACGCAGGAGGACCCAAGGGCCCACGCCGAGCCCCAGAGGGGCCCAGCTGGAAACCCCACACGTTGCTGCGTCGTCGGGGCCGTTGGTGCAGGCGTCCAGGTCGACGCCCGGCATGGCCTCGCTGAGCTCGTCGCCCCCCCGCCCCTCGGATTCGGAATTGTCCGTCTTCGGTTCTCGACAGGGCGCCGCGGCCGTCATTTCCCAGGCTTGCGCCCGCCAGGTTTGAGCCCGAGGTCGTTTTCACTAGACCACGTTCTACTAAAGGGGGTTCTGTCCATCCCCGAGCTACGCTCAAGTCGGGCATGTCCCCCCAGAGGGGGAATATCCAAAACAGTCAACATATTAGTCCGGGGACGATTTTTCGATTATTGTTTGACCATTTTGAATTTTTTGGGGCTATTCTCAATCTTTCTTCCAAAACCCGCCTTTAGGAGGACATGCCCGACCTAGGGCTACGCGGCTGCCGCAGGCATCGCTCGACGGCTGCTCGGTGCGCTCCTTGAGGTTCAGTGGGGCGCAGCGCTGCCAAGGCCGGGGCCTGGCCCACCGCTCTCCCTGCGAGCGTTCGCGGGCAGCTGGTGGCCGAGCATCGTGCGGGCAGGCTCGGCGCCGGTGTCGTTCGAGAGAGGAGCGACATACACAACAATCTTTGGAGGAGGGAGGGAGGATGAGGAGGAGAAAGAGGAAGAGGAGGAGGAGGAGGAGCAGGAGGAGGATGGCGCCAAGAAAATAGCGCGTCGCGCATCGCGGGGCGCCATGCTCGAAGTTATCCGACTTAGGACGTCACACAGCCTCAGTCGATTCCGCCGTCGCCGAGTCAAGACTCGAGGGAAGCAGCGGATCGCCTGCACCGCTCGGGTGCGCGCCGCCTGCTCCGCTTCCCTCCCTCCTTCCACCTCCACCTCCACGTCCACCCATCGGCCCCCAGCCCCCACAGCTTACAGCACCCCCACCCCCGCCCGCCCGCCCGCGGAGGAGGAGGAGGAGGAGGAGGAGGAGGAGGAGGAGGAGGAGGAGGAGGAGGAGGAGGAGGAGGAGGAGGAGGAGGAGGAGGAGGAGGAGGGGAGGAGGAGGAGGAGGAGGAGGAGGAGGAGGAGGAGGAGGGGAGGAGGAGGAGGAGGAGGCGGAGGAGGAGGAGGAGGAGGAGGAGGAGGAGGAGAGGAGGAGGAGGAGGAGGGAGGAGGAGGAGGAGGAGGAGGAGGAGGAGGAGGAGGAGGAGGAGGAGGAGGAGGAGGAGGAGGAGGAGGAGGCGGAGGAGGAGGAGGAGGAGGAGGAGGAGGGAGGAGGAGGAGGAGGAGGAAGGGAGGAGGAGGAGGAGGAGGAGAAGGATGTGAACGCCCACCCCCACACAAGAGGGCCCTGGCCCGCCCGCGCCGGCCTTCCAGGCCCCGCCGCCCTGGCGGGCGGCGGGCTCCGTCCTCGCCCTCCTCGTCCCTTCCGCGCCTCCGGTGGTATCCTCTCGTGCTGCCTCGCAGCTTTGTTGCAGCTGCGCGCGGCCGCGCCGAGGGATATGATGGGAGGGAGGACCAGGCCAGAAGGGGATCTGTTTGATGGGAGGGAGGACCGGGCCAGAAGCGGATTTGTTCGGTGGCAAAGCATGGGAGTCTTGTGTATTTTGTCCTCCTCTTCCTCCTTCTCGTGGTTCTGTTTCTAGCGCCGATTTGCGTCGGTTCGCGTCTGGGAGTCGATGAGATGCCGCCGTTTTAGCATCAATTAGCGTCGATTTAGCGTCGATTCAGCTTCGATTGAAGTCGATTTAGCGTCGACTAGCGTCGATTCGCAAGAGCCGGCAAGATGGTATAGGATGCTCCCATGAGTTGCCGCCGAAGGTTTGGGCGCGACGAGAGCTTCCTGCACTGCTGCAACGCGACCCTGTGACAGCTGGCCGAGCCGTCTTGCTCTCGCGCTCCGGCGCCCGGCCCTGGCCCTTGGCGGAGTGGCCCTTCCTTTCGAGACGAAGAGGGACGCGCGCCGAGACCCACTCCAAGCAGCAATGGATGTTGTTTTGGTGGTTTCAGTGTGCAGGCGCGCCCTGCCGTGCGGTGGTTTCCTGGCACATTTTAAACATGATGCTTCGCAGAACACGTTGCATTCCCTCTGCGCGGTGCGCATCACACCACGTGCCAATCATGCGTGGCCTGAGCTACTTCGTAGGCGCGTTCTGGCGAGGCCCTCCGTGAGCCCTCTCGGGGTCCACCGGGTCCGCCGAGTGCCGAAGGCTCCAAGCAGCCATTGTCGACAGTTGTCAGAAGCAACGCCGCCGACAGGGCCGCCGAAAAGGCAACCGAAGTCGCCGCCGAAATTACCGCCGAAGTCGCCGCCGAGATCGCTGCCAAAGTTGCCGCCGAAATCGCCGCCGACATCGCTGCCGAGATGGCCGCCGAGATGGCCGCCGAAAATTGCTGCCGAAATTCCGAAACTCCGGATAGTGCCGCCGAAGCGGGGCCGATTTTGACCATGGGTTTGGCTCTACTTACGCAGGCCGCAAAATTTGTTTTATTGAGCCCCAAATGTCGGAAGCGACGTGCCGTTCATTAGTGGATACACGTACCCTTCCTCGTGCCTCGTCCCTCCTTCCCCTTTCCGTCCTTGTAAGACCCCCCTGCCCCGTATAATCATAGGTCATAGGTTTGGTCAGCACAGTCACGGTTCCGAGGATAGCATGATGTTTCGCGTGCGGTGCCTCGCGGATCCCGCTTCCCCTTGGGTCCAGGATTTTAATGATGATGGTGATGATGATGCTGATGATGGTTATTGCTATGAGGATTATTATCATTGCTTTCATTGATTGTTGTTGTTACTTTGGTATATTTACTCCCGGAAACTTAATGGGTCCACCGTTTTCCACACACGGGAAATTGGATCCGCGCAAGACAGACCTAAGATCCACGACGTTGTCGCGCACCCGACAAGGGATCCAATTGGATCCACCAGTATTTTCATATTTGCAGTCCAATAGCAAACACTTCCGGCCCGGGGATGTATACGTGTGTTCGCGGCGTCATCGCGCCCAGTAGAAACATGATTTCGCTTGGTAAAAAGGCAAGGACAATTTCGGCGGCTAGATTCGGCGGCAATTTTCGGCGGCCACATTTGCGGACTTTGCAATAATTTCGGCGGCAATTTCGGCGGCGATTTCGTCGGCAATTTCGGCGGCGATTTCGGCGGCATTTTCTGCGGCGATTTCTGCGGCGATTTTGGTAGAGATTTCGGCGTTGATTTCGGCGGCAATTTCGGCGGTTCTTTCGGCTGCACTGGTGGCCGTTTCAGGGGCCATTTCGGCGATGTGTCGGCGACGCACGTTGACGCCGTTTCAGCGCGATGATGATTGTAACGCTGGTTTTCTCGTGGTCTTGGCGGTGACGATGGCGATGGCAGTGGTGATGTTTGGTTCAAAATGGATACTCGCCAGAGGCCTTTGCAGGCGAGCCTACACGCTCAGCGCGACATGTGGTCAAACAAATGAAATTACCGTGCAACTCCTTCGGAAGTCGGCTGCTGTCTCGGGGGTCGTGGTGGCTCCAAAGGGTGGTCTTCGGTGCCCCTTGTCGTCGTCGCGGCCTGTTGCGTGCGCGGCAGCACCGGCGGATCGGAGGGGGGAGTCGAGGTTCACGAGGGTGCGGGTTTCTTCGGTTTCCAACACGGGTGTCCGTGGTGGGATTCATGCCCACGGGGCCATCAGAGTGCCCAAGCATCCTGTGGCGGAGCGCCGCCAGCAGTGGCCACTCCGAGTGGAGGGGTCGACTTTCGTTGGGAGGTGTTAGGCGCCGCGCCACGACTCGACGACGATGCCGAAGTTGATGATCTTGTTGCTGATGCGAAGCATGCTCATGCTGGTGCAGATTCTTATGCTGATGCTGACGCTATTGCTGTTGATGTTGAGGATGATGGTGATGACTGTGATGATGCTGCTGATGATGGTGGTGAGGATAATGATGATGATGCTGAGTGTGATGTTTTTGCTGCGGTTGATGGCGATGATGCTGTTTATGATGATGATGCTGATGGTGATGATGCCAATGATGATGGGAACGATGCTGTTGATGATGATGGTGTTGTTGATGATGATGATGCTGCTATTGATAATGATACGGCTTCTGCTGGCAACGGTGACGATGATGAGACTATGATTCCGGTACAATGGTGATCGTGACGCTGAATGTGACGAGGATGAAGAGGATGTTGGTGATATTGGTGGTGCTGATGATGATGGTGCTGATGAGGATGAGGATGATGATGATGGTGATGATGATGCTGATGATGATGATGATGATGATGATGAAGGGGGACGAAGACGGGGATGAGGGGTAGGACGTGGACACTTCCCCCCTTCGAGGACACGACCAAGACCCTCCTGCCGGGGTGCTGCTCCAACTCCACCTCGAGCGGGGAGCTGCGGGGAAGCACCTTGGCCGGGTCCTCCACGCTGTCGTCCAAGTCGCACACGGACGGCGCGCCGGCTCCCGTCGACGCGGGGGACGAGGACCGTGGCGCGTGCACGCTCTGTTTTCTGTACGATCGAAGTCGGCACGGGCATCAGCAAGGGTAACGTCACTCTGAGATTTTGGCGTTTTTTTTTGTTGTTTGCATCGGGTGAGTTTGCTTTGTTTCGAGCTCCTAGGCCTATATACATGTGTGTATATAAATACGTATGTATGTATGTATGTATGTATGTATGTATGTATGTATGTATCTATGTATGTATGTATGTAATGTATGTATGTATGTATGTATGTATGTATGTATGTATGTATGTATGCATGTATGTATGTATGCATGCATGTATGTATGTATGTATGAATGTATGTATGTATGTATGTATGTATGTATGTGTGTGTGTATGTATGTATGTATGTATGTATGTATATATATATGTATATATATATATATATGTGTGTGTGTGCGTACACATGCACACTGTGCTGTGACTTTTTCGTGGTGTCGGATCTCAGGGCCCCAGACGTGCTCGCGTCGCGCGAGCCAGGAAGACACGACGAGAGGTCTTCGGCCGTTCTCGGCCTTTTGGGGGCCCCCGCGGGGCGTGGGAAGTCGGCTCGGGAGGACAAGCTGGCCCCGCGGAGAGGGTCGGGACGTCAGGGGACTCCCTGCCGAAACATGGGGCCATCGGATGGCTGGGCCAGGGGGCCGTCGGAGACCGTCGGGGGCCCCTGCCGCGCAGAGGTCTCTGGACGGGTGCCCCGCAGGTCTCCGCGGAGGTGCCCCCGGGACCTCCAGGTCTAACCAGCTTGAAACATCTGCGAGCGTCGGAGCTCAATGGACTGGGGTCCTCCTCCTTCTCCTCCTCCTCGCTCCTCGCGCCTCCTCCCCCTCCTTCTCCTCCTCCTCCGCCTCCTCCTCCTCCTCCTCCTCCCCTTCCTCCTCCTCCTCCTCCTCCTCCTCCTCCTCCTCTTCCTCCTGCAGGATCCTGCAAGACCTCAGTGACCCGGGTGTGCATTGACCCAGGCCAGTGCGCCCACGAGTGCAGATTTGGAGGAGGGCTGCACGCCACGCCCAGGAACGTGTGGGTGTGCTGTCGGGGGCCCATCGCCGATCAGTCGGCGATGTACAGTCAACGCGCCTAGTAAGGACGCGCGCCTTCATCTAGGATACCCTTGCGTCCTTGCCTCTGTGGCCCGTCCTTTGCCGTTTACACTGGTCGCCGCCGCCCAAAAAAATCCCAACTTCAGCCTCCAAGGGTCTTGCGTCCTTACCACGCGTCCTTAATATACGTTTTGACTGTATCGCCGATTCCAGTTCCTCGATGTTTCTCCCCCCGCTGGAGCCGGTCCCCCCTGACGTTGCCCCTCGGAGAACGGTGACGAGGCTCGACGGCAGGTCCTGTTCCCCTCGGTGCTCGTCGCTCGGATGTGTGCACATTCTTTCTCGGCGAGGGCCATCGAGGAGCATCCTGGATCGTCTCGCGTCAGGTAGACGAACGAAACCGAAGCATGGACGGAGGAGGGGGAGGAGGAGGAGGAGGAGGAGGAGGAGGAGGAGGAGGAGGAGGGCTGGACGCCCGAGCGATGGCAAGGTTCGTGTTCGCCGCCGTGCAAGCTGTGCAGCTGGGGCAGGCGTTGCCTGCCCAGTCCTTCGCGGTCGCTTCTGCGTAGGGCACAGTCTTCGCTGCTGGGGCACCGTTCCCGTTGCTCCCGTAGAGTCAAGCCGCATAGTATTCGGCATCGCTCGGACGTGTGCGTCTGCCCTCGTTAAAACGACGCGAAGATCGGGACAAAATCGGATCGGGATAATTCGAAATCTCTGAGAATCGGCGGGTTTGGAGGATGTATTGGGCGCCGCGGCCGCTCCAGAGCGTTCCGGAACGCTCTGAGAGCGCTCCGGAACGCTGTGGAGCGATTTATCCCGATCCTAGCCCCGTTGTACTCGTCGTGGACCATCGAGGAGCATTTCGGGTCATCTTTCGAATGCACGGGGAATGGACGTCCGAGCGACGGCACGAGCAAGGATGACCAATTTTCCAAGGTTGCCCTGGCATCCTTCACCTTCGGCCGATCCTTGGCCGCTCTCGCTGGCCTTCGCCCCGCTCGCACGTGTGCACACGGCTCTCCCAAGGCGCCTGCATCTCCTTCCGCCGTCCAGGTCTGTCGCCTCGAACCCTGCCTTCCCCAGGCCTCCGGCCATCGGGGTCACCCTGGCGGCTCCTCTCCGCAGTTTCCAGCGTCGGGAGGCCGTCCCCATGCCTACAGGGCCGTCACCAAACGACCCCAGGCGGAAAGCCGGCGATCGGGAAAGGGGTCGATGCGGATGAGCATGAGGGTGAGTATGAGGAGAAAAATGAGGATGGGGATGAGGATGATGATGATGATGAGGATGATGATGAAGATGATGACGCTGCTCATGTTGATGATGCTGCTGATGATGATGGTGGTCAGAATGATGATGATGATGATGATGATGATGATGATGATGATGATGAGGAGGAGGAGGAGGATGATGATGACGACGATGACGATGACGATGATGATGATGACGATGACGATGATGATGTTGACGATGATGATGATGATGTTGATGTTGAGGTTGATGATGTTAATGAGTATGATGATGATGATGATGATGATGATGATGATGATGGCGACGCCGACGACGATGACGATGAAGATGGCGATGCCGCTGATGATGATGATGATGATGATGATGGTGCTGGTGATAATAATGATAATGATGCTTGTGCTTATGATGATGCTGTTGATGCTGCTGCTGATGCTGCTGCTGCTGATGATGATGATGATGATGATAATGATGATGGTGGTGGTGGTGGTGATGCTGATGACGATTATGATGATGAGGATGATGACGATGATGCTCCTGCTGTTGATAATGGTGCTGCTGATGATGATGGCGATGATGATGCTGACGGTAATCTTGCTACTAATGATGACGATAGTGATGATGGTGATGATGATGATGATGATGATGATGGTGATGATGATGATTATGAGCATGATGATGCCTATGATGCTGATGCTGATGATGAGGATGAACATGAGGATGATGATGCTTCTGATGATGCTGATGCTGATGATGTTGATGATTACGATGATGGTGGTGGTGATGATGATGCTGCTGCTGATTATGATGATTCTGATGATGATGATAATGACGATGATGATGATGATGATGATGGTGATGGTGATGATGATGATGATGAGGATGCTGCTGCTGATGATGCTGGTCTTGCGATGATTATGATACTTCTTACCATGGTAATGACCATGCTGGGGAGCATGATGATGGCCTTGCTGATGCTGTTGCTGCTGGTAATGATGCTGCTGATGATGATGATGCTGATGATGATGATGATGACGATGATGATGATGATGATGATGATGATGATGATGATGATGATGATGATGATGATGGTGGTGATGATGCTGCTGATGATGATGCTAATGATGATGATTATGGTGTCGATTGTAATGATGGTGATGGTTTTTGTGATGATGGTGAATCTGATGATGATGCTGACGACGATGCTGATGGTGAGGGTTAGGATGAGGATGCGTATGGTGAGGATGCTGACCATGATGATGATGGTGGTGGTGGTGCTGATGATGACGAGGAGGAGGACGACGATGATGATGAACCCGACGACGATGATGATGCTGATCATGACGATGAGATTCATGATGGTGCTGATGATGATGACGATGCTGCTGATGATGATGACGATGATGCCGACTATGCCCATGATTGTGATGGTGATGTTGATGATGACGATGAATATGATGATGCTGGTAAGGGCGTAGGACTAGGACGCGTATGATGATGGCGGTGATGAGGATGCTCACGATGATGGTGATGATGATGATGATGATGATGATGATGATGATGATGATGATGAGGATGATGATGATGATGAGGATGATGATGCTGATGATGATGATGATGATGATGAATGATGATGATGATGCTGATGATGATGATGATGATGATGCTGGAGATGTTGCTGACGACTATTATTATCATGACGATGATGGTGGTGGTGATGCTGCTGATGATGATGCTAATGATGATAACGATGATGATGATTATACGGCCTTAGTAGATGATTATCCCGATGGTAATTCCGACGGCGATTGCGATTATGTTGATGATTGCAACGTTGATCTTGCGTCTGCTGATTGTTTATGACGCTTATGCTGATGCTGATGATGGTGAGTAGGAGGAGGAGGAATAACGCGGAGGAGGAGGATTCTTGTTGCTTCTCCTCTTCCGCCTCCGTTATTACCATCTCCATCTCTTCATCTCTTCCAGTATTTCTCTTCCCCCCGCCGTTATGTCCATCTCGTCGGCCTCTAACTCCCCATTTGTCCACACCCTCCTCGTCTCATTCCTGCCTCCCTCTCGTTTCTCCTTCTCCTCGTCCTCCTTCCTCCGCCCTCCTCATCCTCCTCCTCCTCCTCCTTCTCTCCTCCTCTTCCTTGCTTCCTCATCCCTCCTCTCATCAATATTTTTCTCCTCCTCCCCCTCCCCTTGCTTCCCTCCTGCTTCTCTCTCGCTCTCCCTCTCCCTTCCCTCCCCCTCCTGCTGTTGCTCCTCCTCATCTGCCATTTCCCTCCGCAAGCGACTACTGTTAGAAGCTCCCGCGCTCACTTTTTTCTGCTCATACCTTCATATCGTTATCCGCCGCCGTTTCTTTTCAAGTGCTGCTGAAGTGCCACGGGCTTGGAGGTGCACAGCGGGTGCTTCATAGAACTTTGCTTTTTATGAGTTACTTTCTTTCTCGAGCTATGAACAAAGCATGCAGATCACCGTTGACAGTCCAAACGACTTCTCCGCCCATTCCTCCTACCATAACTTCCCAGAAGCCTTCAGACAGCAGGCAGAACATCCGAACGCCTCCTCACCTCTTCTCTCCTTCTTGTCCCTCAATTCCTCCTTGCCTCTCCCCCCTCCCTCTCTCTTCCCCTTCCTATTTCCCCTCCTTCCCTCTCTCTCCCCTTGTCCTCGTCTTCCTCCTCCGCATCACCCCCTCCTCATTTTATCATCTCCTCTCTTTCCCTCTTCCTCTTCGTCCAACACGTCGTCCTCCTTCTCATCCCCCTTTTCCGCCTCCTGCTCGTCGTCGTCCTCCTCCTCCTCCTCCTCCTCCTCCTCCTCCTCCTCCTTCTCTCTTTCTCACTCTCTCATCGCCGCGCCTCCGTCCCGAGGGCCCCGTGCTCGGCTCCGCGGTGTTCCCCAGCCGCGGCTCGGCGCTGCACCAGTGGGGCGTCTGCAAGCCGTGCGCCTTCGTTTTCCAGGCCGCGAGCCCCGCCGAATCTCGGAGGTGGAAGAGGTACCCAGACTGCTGCCCTCACCTTGCCTTCCCCTTTTTGGGCCTCCCGGGAGGCCCTCGTCGCCACCGCTGGATTCGCCCCGAGCTCCTGGTGAGAACGCACCCCGGGAGAGGCCCGGGGAGCAGCGGTACCCGTACCTTTTGGTCTCCCC